CTGCTTCCCAATGCCGTTTCCCCAGAACTCCTTCCGATGGCTTCTCTAGCTCTTCCTCTACTCCTCCTTCTAGCCCTGCTTCCCAATGCCGTGCTCCCACAACTCCTTCCTACGGCTCCTCTAACGATTCCCCTACTTATCCTTCTAGCCCTGCTTCCCAGTGCCGTAGCCCCAGGACTCCTTCCCATGGCTCCTCTAGCTCTTCCCCTACTCCTCCATCTAGCTCTGCTTCCCAAAGCCGTGGTCCCAGGACTCCTTCCCTGGACTCCTCTAGCTCTTCCCGTACTCCTCCTCCTCGCACTGCTTCCCAAAGCCGTGGTCCCAGGACTCCTTCCAATGCTCCTCTAGCTCTTCCCTTACTCCTCCTCCTCGCACTGCTTCCCAAAGCCGTGGTCCCAGGACTCCTTCCCGTCACTCCTCTAGCTCTTCCTCTACTCCTCCTTCTTCCCTGGTTTTCCAATGCCGTGGTATCAGAATTCCTTACCATGCCTCCCCTAGCCATTCCTCTACCCCTCCTCCTAGCCCTCCCCGTTTTTAGTCCCCAGCCTCCAGCCCCCCACCCCCCACCAGACCTGGCAGTTCACACATCTCATCTTGGGGTGGTTTTCCTGCTCCTGGAGCAGTGCTGGTGCCGTTCAGGATGGCCGGGACCATCTTCAGCAGCCTGACCTGCTGGACAAAGGAAAGCAAAGACAACGGCAAGCCAGCGTTCTGCCTCAGTGAGTCCCGGGAGCCCTTTCCGCGGCCAGGTCCTGCTCACCTACCGCCATCCGTATTTTGCCTTCATTCCCATTGTCAATCCTCTTGGATTTCCTTTCTCTAAACACTCTGCTCCCTTCCTTCCCTGCCTGATCAGCCAGCCTGCCTGAGCTTCTACATGTGTCCTGGGCTTCTCCATGGAAGTCGGTCTGTAGCCACAGAGCAAACCACAGGGCCGGTGACAGAGAAGGTAGAGGGGAGTGAGGAGTGGGAAGCACCTCACCTCTTCTCTAGGAGGGTAAGTCCTGCCCTGGGTTAAGGTGAGTGCAAGAACCATGACCCCTGACGGCTCACAGGGCACAATGCCCTGCTATAGATAGACGGGAGACTCAGTTTTGCTTTTGTTCATGTTTTTCGGGTCTTGTTTATTCCAGAATTTATTTGTATTTACCCTAGGATTCCAGAACCATGGCAGGGACTTTAGATATCTAGATTCAACAGAATCTCAATCAAAATCCCGCTATATTTTTGAGAACTTGACAACTAAAATGTATATGGAAATGTAAAAAGCCAAGGCTAACCAACACTCTCCTAAGAAGACATTTTTGCCTACCAGATATCAGAACTCATCATGAAAATTATGGAAATTAAGATAGTGTAGGAGTGAGGAAAGCATAGACAAATGGCACAGAATAAGAGCAGGAAGAGACCCCACACTGGTCTGCCCATGCGTGACTACTGAGCACTTGAATTGTGTTATTAAGTGTAGAACTTGCACTGGATTTTTTTTAAAAAAAGAATTGTTATTTACCAAATCTGGGGCATATTAGATACAATCAATTTTAAACTTAGTATCTTTTAAATCATTTTTGAAGTGTTTCACACACATATAGAAACTGGCATGCAACGGCTGTCCTACGGTAAAAGTCACCTTATCAATAAACTGTTGCAAGGGTTCTCACCCAATGTTGAAAAATTATTTATCCTGAACATGAAAAGCTGTAACAAATTTAATTAATTACATAAAACTCATCACTTTTAGTTTTCCCCTTGCAAAGATCCAAATAAATGTACAAGTAACTAATATATCTGAGTCTTAACACAATCCTGGATCATCCCCATACCAAAACCAGATGCTTTTTAAATTTTAAACCCATCATCAGAGAACAAGAGAAAGTCATTTCATTTTACACAGAACAAAATTCACATGTGCCAGGAAAGAAAGACCCAAGAGAAACAAAACAAAAACCCTGGTGCTGACACTGATGTCCAGTGCCCCAGTTAAACAGCGGCCCAAAGGTCACTGATCAAAAATAGAATAGTGGCTGTGTATCACTGCAATCAAATCTAAGAGGCTTTAACCCTTTGGCATCAGAAATCCAGATGTTTCCAATTACGTAAATGCATATTTCCGCCGGGCGCGGTGGCTCAAGCCTGTAATCCCAGCACTTTGGGAGGCTGAGGCGGGTGGATCACAAGGTCAAGAGATCGAGACCAACCTTGGTCAACAAGGTGAAACCCCGTCTCTACTAAAAATACAAAAAATTAGCTGGGCATGGTGGCGCATGCCTGTAATCCCAGCTACTCAGGAGGCTGAGGCAGGAGAATTGCCTGAACCCAGGAGGCGGAGGTTGCGGTGAGCCAAGATTGTGCCATTGCACTCCAGGCTGGGTAACAAGAGCGAAACTCTGTCTCAAAAAAAAAAATGCATATTTCCTACATGCCAAGAGTGGGGGAAGTGGATGTGCCAGTGTGGAAAGAGAAAGAGGAACCCTTTACTGGGACACACAGAAAATTGGCTTTAATAGACAATTAGAAGGTTAGGTAGAAACCCAGAAATGATTATTAACTGCTTGTGTCATCAATTTAAGTGGAGGTGATTCAGTCCTAAGGCTTAGTGTTAAAATGTATGGGGCAAAATATATGCTGAATCATTGCTTTAAAGCAAAACAAGAAAACAAAGTATAAAACTACCCAGCCTGGCAGCATATGCCCAAGTCAGAGAGCTCTGCCATTAGGATGGACAGAAACTGTTAAGATCCATACTGTTTTTTCTCATAAGGACTCAACAAAAATGAATCTTGAACCACAGAATGAGGAAATCCAAAGAATGCAGTCATTTGGCTGGGCGCGGTGGCTCATGCCTGTAATCCCAGCACTTTGGGAGGCCGAGGCGGGTGGATCACGAGGTCAAGAGATCGAGACCATCCTGGTCAACATGGTGAAACCCCGTCTCTACTAAGAATACAAAAATTAGCTGGGCATGGTGGTGCACGCCTGTAGTCCCAGCTACTAGGGAGGCGGAGGCAGGAGAATTGCTTGAACCCAGGAGGCGGAGGTTGCGGTGAGCCGAGATCGCGCCATTGCACTCCAGCCTGGGTAACAAGAGCGAAACTCCGTCTCAAAACACAAAGAATGCAGTCATTTTAGTAAAGTACTACCAGGCTTTGTGCTGATGATTTAATGGACAAAGTGTGACCTCAGATGAGGTTCATTTATTGTGAAAACAGGAAGAAATAATACAAACTATACTCCCATGTTTGACTTAACAGTGTTTGAGTTCCTGGAAGAACCTATATAATGGAGGCAGCTTTCAAATAAGAAATTATGCCGATCAACGGTCAAATTTTCACTATAACTTTCCTCCATCACATTCAGCTAATTTTTTGTATTCAGAAGAGATGGGGTTTCACCATGTCGGTCAGGCTGGTCTCACACTCCTGACGTCAGGTGATTCGCCTGCCTCGGCCTCCCAAAGTGCTGGGATTACAGGCATGAGACACCGTGCCCGGCCATGTCTCAATTTTTATATTGAAACTTTGAAGTTGTAATAATTTGGATATACTGAGTTAAATAAAACGTTAAAATTATCTTTATCAGGTTCCTTTTTCTCTCTCAGTGTGGATACTAGATGATATTTAGTCTAGACAGACAATACATTAAAGATGCTATAAATGGCAGTGAAGAAACAATAACCATAAAGGGAAAGACTAATATATCTGACCACATTTAAAGTTTCGATGTCAAAAAGATAGCATTAAGAGACTAAAATGGCAAGCCACACAGAAAATGTATTTGCAGCACAGACGATTCTCACTAAAGAACTTCAACAAACTAATAAACAGACAACCAATCCAATAGAAAAACACGTTCAACACTGTCTCCCAGAAACTAAAACGCACCTCGCAACACATGGTTTCCAGAATGAATGAATGAACATATGGTGGAGAAGAGCACAGGCTTTAAAGTCGGTGTTTAGGGGCTCACTAAACTTCGGTGGCTAATTCCCCCATCCTGGGCATACTTTTGGATCTTTTAAAGTAAATGATATTATATAAAGTATCTAGAGTCATTCACAGAAAATAAAAAGGTAAGATGTGGACTGCCAGGGGCTGGAGGGCCAGGGAGATGCAGAGTTGTTTCATGTGTGTAAAGATGTTCTGGGGACAGGTTTCATGCAATATGAATATCTTTAGTATGACTATATTGTGAATGTAAAAATGCCTAAGATGGGGAGGTCATGGTGGGTCAATCAGAAGGTCAGGAGTTGGAGACCAGCCAGGCAAATATGGTGAAACCCTGTCTCCTCTAAAAATACAAAAAAATTTGCTGGGCGTGGTGGCGCACACCTGTAATCCCAGCTACTTGGGAGGCTGAGGCAGCAGAATTGCTTCAACCCAGGAGGCAGAGGTTGCAGTGAGCTGAGATCCTGCCACTGCACTCCAGCTTGGGTGACAGATCAAGATTCTGAAAGGAAAAAAAAAAAAATGCCTAACATGGTAAGTTTTACATTATATGTATTTTGCAACAATTCCATATTTTACAAAACTCTGAAGTCACCGTGTTATGAGGATTGGAAAGAGTTATTCTGTCTATATTATATGTTAGTGATATTGGCTACATTGGCCAGAATGTTCTCTTACAAAGAAAACCTCCAGTTATCTGAGATACAAACAGAGTTTAAATTGTGGACATCTGCTTTTAAGTGGGAGAGGTTTCTGACTCCTTACAAAATTTCTTTTAGGGAATGACTGGCCAAGATGAGATCCAGTCCTATGTCCACTGCCTCTTGGGTTGGCCACTTAGTGGTGAGTCCTTTCCAGGCCCTGTGCACCGGCAGTGACCATGCAGGTGCTGAGAAGCCCAGGCAGGTGAGTTGAGCACTGGAAGAGGGTGAGGTGTGAAGTAAGATCCTGAGAAGTGGGAGTGGGGAGGGGTGGATGGACAATAAGAACAAAATCTACTCCAGCAGGGTGGTACCACACGGACACTTGCCTGGAGAAAGCATAGGATGTCATTGCCTGGAGTTAGCAGAAGGCGCGGAGCAGGCAGGCAGCAAGGGGGCGCTCAAGAGTGCTCCTGACCAGACCAAGCAGTGCGGAGGTGACGGTGGGACACCAGAAGAAGGACCGTATCTTTTGGGATTGCCTGACCACATCAAGCAGCATGGAAGCATGGTGGGACACCAGAGGAAGAAGGATCAGCTCTCGTGCGGACTGCCTGACCATATCAAGCAGCATGGAGGCCATGGTGGGACACGAGAGGAAGAAGAACCAGATCGTTCGGGATTGCCAGACCACATCAAGCAGCATGGAGGCCACTGTGGGACATGAGAAAAAGAAGAACCAGATTTTGGGATTGCCTGACCAGATCAAGCAGCATGGAGGCCACGGTGGGACACCAGAGGAAGAAGGACCAGATCTTTTAAGATTGCCTGACCAGATCAAGCAGCATGGAGGCCATGGTGGGACACCAGAGGAAGAAGGACCAGATCTTTTGGGACTGCCTGACCAGATCAAGCAGCACGGAGGCCACGGTGGGACACCAGAGGAAGAAGGATCAGATCTTTTGGGATTGCCTGACCAGATCAAGCAGCATGGAGGCCACGGTGGGACACCTGAGGAAGAAGGACCAGATCTTTTGGGATTGCCTGAACACAGCAAGCCGCAAGGAGGCCACGGTGGGACACCAGAGGAGGAAGGACCAGATCTTTTGGGATTGCCTGACCACATCAAGCAGCATGGAGGGCACGGTGGGACACCAGAGGAAGAAGGACCATATCTTGTGGGGACTACCCAACCAGATCAAGCAGCATGGAGGCCACAGTGGGACACCAGAGGAAGAAGGACCAGATCTTTTGGGATTGCCAGACCACATCAAGCAGCATGGAGGCCACTGTGGGACACGAGAAAAAGAAGGACCAGATCTTTTGGGATTGCCTGATCACATCAAGCAGCATGGAGGCCACGGTGGGACACCAGAGGAAGAAGGACCAGATCTTTTGGGATTGCCTGACCACATCAAGCAGCATGGAGGCCACGGTGGGTCACCTGAGGGACAATGTGACCCCAGATGAGGTTCAGCAGGACCCTCTTGTGGGAACTTCACTTCAAAATGTTACGAACCCACAAACACTATGTGGAGCATCGCGAGTGCCCTCTTCAAGGGTGAGGGACCTGGCAGGATGAAGGAAAGGACAGAGAGGGGAGTTCACCCCTGGGAAGAAGGCGAGTCCTGGGGGCTGTATAATGAGGGGTGTGGGTCCTAGAGAAGGATAATATGACTTCTCACACCCTACCTCCTTTCTTAGACTTAAGGAGCATGCCTTTGGAGGGGACTTGCCCACATCAACTCAGAGGCAGAATATCTTTTTCTAATTTTGCTTTTGAAATATAATTGTATTTTGTAGAATTGTTACATTGTTACATCTGGTTTCTTCCTAATGAGCTAAAGGTTTTTACTCAGGCTTCTGGTCCTGTCTCAGACCTTCGGAAAGCTCAGGGCTAGGAGCCTCCCTGCCCTCCACTCTCATCAGTGTGCACACTTGGTGGGCAGTCGCATCTGGGCCTGTCACATCAGCTCCTCCTAGGATATTGCCCCTTAGATGCAGCTTTAGACCCACACACAAAACCACCTCCCAGCTGCCCTCCCTGGACAACCCACAGGTCCCTCACTTACTGGGTGGAAATCCAGGCTCACCCTGCATCTTCTCCCTCACACTCTGCTACTCTAGAACTAGAAGGTCCTGTGTCTCATCCAAAGGCGCCAGTCAGGTGCTCTCCCTGTTAGAAGCGCAGGACTCATCCCCAAGGTCTCTCCCTCACTCCACACACACAGGGAGACACGAGTCCTGTGGGTTCCCGCACATGAGTCTCACCTGATCCACCTGTTCCCACCTTGGCGAAAGACTCCACTGCGCATGCCTGCATCTCTACTCACACCGGCTCACCCTCTAAGCAGCACCCCAGTCTGCCTCTCTCCATCCTCACTCTGAAGCCTCGGGAGGGCCCTGCTCTCTCCTGCCTGGATTGGGCTGATGGGCTTCCCAACTACTCTCTTTCCCTCCCAGCCATCCCCTCCACTCCCGCTCGCTAGGGCTAGGCTAGGAGGCCAGTTAGATCACATCAGTCTCCACACAAGGTCTTTCAGTGGCCCTCACAGCTCCTGAGCTTAAATCAATCAGCACACGTGGCTCCTTTAGTTCTGGCTCTGGTTCCTGCCTAGATTCACCCTGTACTCCCCTTCACCTCTTTATCTACATCTCTACTTATTTATACAAATAATTATTATTACTTGAGATGGAGTCTCCCTCTATAGCAGGTGTCCCCAAACTTTTTACACAGGGGGCCAGATCACTGTCCCTCAGACCATTGGAGGGCCGCCACATACTGTGCTCCTCTCACTGACCACCAATGAAAGAGGTGCCCCTTCCTGAAGGGTGGCGGGGGGCCGGATAAATGGCCTCAGGGGGGCGCATGCCATAGTTTGGGGACGCCTGCTCTATAGGCAGGCTCGAGTGCAGTGGTGCGATCTTGGCTCACTGCAACCTCCCCCTTGCAAGTTCAAGTAATTCTCCTGCCTCGGCCTCCCGAGTAGCTTGGACTACAGGCGTGCACCACCATGCCCGTCTAATTTTTGTATTTCTAGTAGAGATGGGATTGTACCATGTTGGCCACGATGGTCTCAATCTCTTAACCTTATGATACGCCCAGCTTGGCCTCCCAAAGGGCTGGGATTACAAGGTGTGAGCCACCGTGCCTAGCCTATATAATTTTTGAGAGAGGTCTGACTCTGTGGTGCAATCACAGCTCACTGCAGCCTTGAACTCCTGCCTGCCTCAGCCTGTGAAGTAGCTAGCAGTATAGGTGGACGGCACCACAACTGGCTTTTTTTCTGTATGGAAGGATCTCAGTATGTTGCCCAGGTTGATCTCCACCTCCTGGCCTCTAGAAATCCTCTCACCTCAGCCTCGGACTCCTAAAGTGCTGGCATTACAGGCGTGAGTCACTGCACCCACCCTTATAGATATATATAAATTCTTTGCTTCTCACTTTTGATCAGTGTAAAACACCCAGACATGGTAGACACTTCTGATTTTAAATCCCTGCTCTGTGACACTAGATGTTCACTTTTCCTTTTCTGGACTTGTTTTTTATCTGAAAAATGGAAATATAGGTACAACCCATCACCTCCTGAGGGTTTTTTAAGAATTGAAGATTTATTTAAAGCATGGTGCTCAGAGTAGGTATACAATAAATAATGGCCATCACCACCCTATTAGTCATTACCCAATCCTTATGAGCCTTCACTTGTTCCTCTCTCCAGATAAAATAAGTTAATTTCAGCAGTGTGTTTCCTTACCCCGCTCCCCACACCTCTCTTTTCTGACATCATTCACATCACAGAGCAGCTCAGTGATGGTGCTGGCCAATCGAGTGTGTTCTCACATCTGTGTCCTTAGCACTCCATGGCACTAGCTCTACAGTCACCACTGTGGCCTGGCATAAAAGATTCACAAGGCCGGGCGCGGTGGCTCAAGCCTGTAATCCCAGCACTTTGGGAGGCCGAGGCGGGTGGATCACGAGGTCGAGAGATCGAGACCAACCTGGTCAACATGGTGAAACCCCGTCTCTACTAAAAATACAAAAAATTAGCTGGGCATGGTGGCACGTGCCGTGCCTATAATCCCAGCTACCCAGGAGGCTGAGGCAGGAGAATTGCCTGAACCCAGGAGGTGGAGGTTGCGGTGAGCCGAGATTGCGCCATTGCACTCCAGCCTGGGTAACAAGAGCGAAACTCCGTCTCAAGATTCACAAGCAAGGTGGGTGAAAAGTTGTGGCCCCAGAGGCCTAACTAATCCAGAAGAAGGCCATCAGGAGCGCTTCTGGACCTACCAGCTACACTCTACTCTGACATTGACCTGATTCTCCCTTTTAGGATTTTTCACAGGGTTCTTACCTGGTATATTCAAACAGGCATTTTCTCCAAAAGCCTTTCCTTCTTGCCTTTTTAAATCAGCTTGGTTCTAATAGACAGCTGGGCATTATTAGGCCAATGCAACAAGGAGATGACTGACACGAAACTGCTGGTGAAGACGGAACTGACCTAAGATGATTGGGAAACTTTGTCTAGTAGAAAGTGGCTATTGTTTTTGTAGTTTTAAAACTTGCCAACTCAAATGAACAGGGCATTAGACTTAACTTGATCATTATACAATGTGCATGTGTATCAAAACATCAAACTGTGCCTCATTAAGTATATACAATTATGTTTTAATTACATAATTAAAAAAAAGTCTTTCAATTAGTTTGGAGAACTGAGTGACATAAAAAATTAAAAACTGCAGGACAAATTTTAATGCAAGTTTTTACTTAGTTGGCATATGGGATTTAAAACTGAGTATCATGGTTTAGTAAGCAGGGAAATGAATTCTTCCTACATGTTACTGTGACGTATCGTTTCCACTATTACAGCCTTAAAGAACAGTGAAATAAACTCATATTAGAGCCACACACTCAAAGTCTTATAACAATAAAGTACTGAGCCAGGTTTTCAAAATTCATAAACTATTTAATCACATTTTCACATGAAAAATAAATTCTATCCTTTCCTGATTTAATGTATTAAAGGCCAATTCACTGACAACGGACCTGTAAAAAGCAACAGCATTCTTAGAATGTTGAGATAGTACTATGTTTCAGATATGATGTGTAATTCAGTAAATGCTGCCAACATTTTTCAAAGACTCTCAAGTGTAAATTAAAAAAAAGAAATCTCAATTCTAGAAGGAAATAACTTAGGTGCATGTTTCTTAAACACAGAGTAAGTTGTTGTCAAGGAAATAGTGACTAGGAAGAAATCAGAAAGAAAAGAGATTTATTTCCTTTTTAGGATTATTTTAAGAATTTCCCCCTAGCTTAGTTAATTATCCTCAAATCCCAAATACTAAGTTCTCAAAGATCACACTGTCACCTATAAATCACATAGCAGGTTATAAGGTGTGAAAGGAAATAAATCTCAGGACTCCAAATCACTAACCCAAAGGGAAGTCAAGCTGGGAACGGCATCCGCAAACCTGCTCCCAGTTTATTCCTCAATAAGAAAACTACAAAGATAAGGAAGCTCCATACCCCCTCACCATTAGCCACACAATGGACAGAACACAGTGTCATCTCTCTGTTCACCTGAGACAAACGCACATCTCATTGCTGCTTCAGCCCTGTTGCCAGACTAGGGCATAAGTGAAGCTTCCTCTCCTCTCCTCTCACATGTAAATTGTGTATTTAAAAAAAGGCTATGTTGAACCAGCCTTGCATCCCTGGGATGAAGCCTACTTGATCATGAGAGATAAGCTTTTTGATGTTAAAGGATGATAAATCATTCTATGATAAAGACACATGCACACCTATGTTCATTCTGTTGCTGTTTACAATAGCAAAGACCTGGAACCAACCCAAATGCCCATCAATGATACACTAGACAAAGAAAACGTGGCACATATACACCATGGAATACTACACAGCAATAAAAAATGATGAATCTGACCGGGCGCGGTGGCTCAAGCCTGTAATCCCAGCACTTTGGGAGGCCGAGGCGGGTGGATCACGAGGTCGAGAGATTGAGACCATCCTGGTCAACATGGTGAAACCCCGTCTCTACTAAAAATACAAAAAATTAGCTGGGCATGGTGGCACGTGCCTGTAATCCCAGCTACTCAGGAGGCTGAGGCAGGAGAATTGCCTGAACCCAGGAGGTGGAGGTTGCGGTGAGCCGAGATCGCGCCATTGCACTCCAGCCTGGGTAACAAGAGCAAAACTCCGCCTCAAAAAAAAATGATGAATCTGTTTCCTTTGTAGGGACATGGATGAATCGGAAACCATCATTCTCAGCAAACTTGTCCAAGAACAGAAAATCAAACACCGCATGTTCTCACTCATAGATGGGTGTTGAACATATGAGAACACATGGACATAGGGAAGGGAGCATCACACAATGGGGTGGGTTGGGGGTTGGAGGTTAGAGGAGGGACAGCGGGAGGCAGGAAGGCTGGGGAGGGAAAACACTGGGAGAAATGCCTCAGGTAGGCGATGGGGGGATGGAGACTGCAAACCGCCATGGCATGTGTGTACCTACGCAACAACCTTGCAGGATGTGCACATGTATCCCAGAGCTTAAAGTACGAAGGAAAAGGCTAATCAGAGACTCAGAAAAATGCAACCATTTGTCTTATCTACTTATGACCTGGAAGCCCTCTCCCGTGCTTCACGTTGTTCCACCTTTCTGGACAAAATCAATGCATGTCTTACACATATTGATTGATGGCTCACATCTCTCTAAAATGTGTAAAAGTAAGCTGTAAAAGGAAAAACAATAGCAGTTTGTACCCCAACCACCTTAGACACATGTTCTCAAAAACCTCCTGAGGGTGTGTCACATCCATAACCTTGGGAACATAAACTTGCCAAATTTATCGAGAGTTGTCTCAGATATTTTGGGTTCACAATGGAAAAACTTACAGAGACCCCCTCAGCTTCCTGCTGGACATAGTCTTCTTTGGTGATCCCAGGGAGTTCTCATCAGACCCACTCCAGTGGAAGAGCACACGGGCATTCGGTAACTTTGGCGTACACAAGTGTGTGTGTTTGCTTTACCGCATGGCATTAAGAAGCCTAAATAAAAAAGGTTTTCTTGTCATGACAATCTAAAACAAAGGGCCCACGAATCCCACAAGTTACTCACTAAATGTGTTAAGTGCAAAGTGTAGGTAACATGAGGGTCTTTTTAGGGTACTGCTTAGAGTGGAAGTCAGGGGACCTCAGTTCTGGCACTAAAATTGATCCCTCATTTGGAGGGTGATGCTGGGGAGGAAGGGTAGGAAATAAGACAGTTGTTTGGTAATAGAGTAAGGGAATAGGTAATAGAGAGGGTAAATATCCTATGGAAGGCTAATTTCAGCAAATGGCAATTAACATTTAAAACACTATGTTCTGTGGCACAGGGTGGGATCATCCCTGGCTTCGTTTGGCCACTTCAGCAGACCGGCCAAAACTAGGTAACTTCTGGCAATGATACTCTGTGTAATCCTTCAAATCTACCACCATTTAATGCCTGGCTACAGAGGCATGATACAGAACTTGAATCTAATACAGGCGGAGATTTGGAAACGCCACTAGAATATCTCAAAATTAGGCTTCAGAAATGCTAAGATCTCTGCAAAACCGTTTTCAAATAGCGAATTGTGGTTGGGTTTTTTGATGTATTTTCCATCATACATTTTTTGTCCTGGGAGTGGGGGGTTTGGAGGTAAAGACTGCTTTGCCACACTGATGAATCAACACAGTGGTAAAATGCAGGTGCCAAAAAGAGGTTCTCTAATTAATTATGTTCCTGTGTAAGTTAAAAAGAAATCTGAAAATTTTAGTGGACAACTATTTCTTCTGAAACTACTTTTAAGGGTAGATTTCTTTCTTTTTTAGTTTCTCTTTGATATTGATTTCATCCCCCAACTACTCATGGTTCTACAGCTAGAGCAGCAGTACTAGAAAAAATAGTCCATTCCATTTTCAACACAAAGAATCCTACTTTCAATTTTATAGAAAACTAAATTAAAAACCAAAACTAACGGAAAACATCCATTTGTAAATCCTTACCTTGATGATAAACTTTTGCTCTATTTTCTTCGCCAAAGCATTCACACTCCAGGGCTCGTCATTTAGGTCTAAGTCTTCTGTAACTGTGTCATTCCATTTGTAGAACTTTCCTTTTCCACACCCCCTAGAACCCAGAGATCAGACAAACATGATAAGGTTAAAAACAAGCATCCTTATCCCCAGCATTTATCTCTATGCTCTGTCTACAAATAAAGCAGCTACCATTTTAAACACCTAGAAAAATGTGGCAACAATGATTTCAGTGTTTAAAAGAAACTTTTTAGTTTGAAGGGGTAAAACCTATAACATCAAGCTTTAAAAATTCAGTATCAAATAAGGTCAAACAAAGCCAATGTGTCCTGTACCATAAAGGTGAGTGTGGATGATAAGGGAGGCAGAAAGAACAGGGGAGAGGCTGCTGGCTGTGTGGATGAGGGCGTACCATCTCCAGGGATATTCCCAACCTGTCCCTCTGAAGGAAGAGCAGGGGCCTGTGTGTGCTGCCCATTGTAATGACACTCAGTGCACAGTTTTCTGTGAGGGCATCTTTTTTTTGCGGGGACCCTCCCCCTTCATGGATTTATACTTTGCCCATCTTCACCAATTTCCAAAGAGGAATTCTGCCAAGCCATTCCCAAAACTGTAAGGCTCCACGTTCAGCATCCAGGGAAAGTGTGCTTTAGCAAAAAGACCATATTCATGTGGATTAATAACTGCAGGACCCAATTAAGTCAGATACAATAGGAAGATGCGATTTCCTAGTTTAATCC